GAATGTGTTGTCAACAGTGATATTGGGTTTGTATATATACATTTACCCATGGTAAAAAGGATTCGGCATGGGTACATTTGCACTTGTTAGATATTTGGTGCTTTGTTCTGCCAAGTTCACTGTAGGGAGCAACAGATGTTTTTCCCCATGTGTGCCAAAATGCCTGTCTAGACTGCAGAATAAGTAAAGAACAGTGGGTGTAAAGCCGTCATGGCAACAATGAGCTGGATCAGAGAATTTTAAACGCAGGGGTATCAAAAAAAATGCACGTCCAAACTAAGGCCCGAGGGCCAATTGCGGCCCTCAGTGCAATGTTATATGGCCCACTGCTGAGCCAACCCAAAGCAATCAAGGAAATTAAAAACACAAGTTCACTGACATGGAATACCTTGTTTTAAGACTCAGAACCTCTGGAATCTGACTTTGTTTATACGGACTTTGTTTTTGATTCTGTTACAACATTAATTCCTTCATGGATTCATACATTTCACCTATGGAGCTAATGTAGCTGATGAGATAGGAAATATTTGTTATTCCTCATTTTAATACGGCAGAACATCCTGACTTCAGTCGAGTTTTACAATAGTTTTGCTGAACTCTCATAAACCCATCGTTGAGTACCTTTGCATCATCATTCTTCCGACTCTTACCTTGACGATTTTGATGAGGCTTTTGAGCTGGTACACGTGCAGCTGCAGGTCCAGTCGGTCGGTCAGCCACACACAGACAGACTTCATGCAGGTGGTGTACCATTGCTGCCAAGACAAAGGCTGTGTTTTAGAACGACAAAATAAGAAAGAGAAGCGGACATTTTTATGCAAACTATTCAAGGATCACGAGGGCTCTTCAAAACTTTCAGACTCCACGGGTAACTTCTTTGGTTCTATAACAATCATTACGCTTCTAATACTCAAGCGGAACAGGCAAACTGAGGTGAAACTATGTTAAATAAAATAAATAAAAAAGTATATCAGCTGCATAAAGTGTCACAATTGGTTGAAAAGAGCACAATGCTGAAAACTCAAACTGAAAAATTCTGAAATGGGACTGTTCTAATCAATATCTATGATTCTACTCTATATATTTTTAATTTTTGGCATCCTCTCCACAAATCTGAGCCAATGGAGATTCATCGATAAATGACTTGTGGGTCTGCTTCCTCCGTCCCAGCATCAAATGTTGGCGTTGGAGTGGATCCCTCTCTCGATATGGTCCTCACCAAGAGTTCTCACATTTTCTCCTCGTGTTATTTTTTGTTTTTGTTGTTGAGTCGTTTCTTGCTGATGCAGGAGAGTCAGAGGACAGCGACGATCCAGGACATATTTTAAGGACTTTTATTAACATTTATGGATAGTGGTCATCCCGCTTCCTATGGACCGTCGGCGACTATACAGTATGTTTGCCATTATTGCATTGTCTGTGTTTGAATGGTTTGATTCTCTGATCCGTTTTTGGCGAGTTGACAACTTTGTAAATTTGCTCCCACAAAAGGACATGCTGTAGATCCAGGACTTGACTTTTTTGTACTTAAAAAACAACATACAATCAACACAATGCTTGCTTGTTTTTCATTTATTTTATTTATTTGATCGGGACAACACACAATAATGAACAATCATACAAGTTGTACACAAATTGTAAATAGGACATGAAAAACTCAAAGAATTAAAAAAAGAAATCACTACTGAAACACAGAACTGTTCATATTTGCTTGACATAAAAAGATCAAATTGGAGTTGCTTCAGTGCAGAAAAACAAGCTGCGTGTGTTGTTTTTTTTTTTTTTTTTTTTTACAAACTAAGTGAAGCCTTCATCTCCAAAGCGTCATTCTGAATGTTATTTATCTGTGCAAAGTAGAGCGAGACAGATTTTAGACCTGACCCGGGAGCATCTCTGCAAACCCAGCCTGAAAGCATCCACGGACAAAGAAGGGGGGAAGAAGCATCCGCCTCCGATCTCCCGTCCCATGAAAAGCACATAAACCCGCACTACATTATGCTAATGGTGTCAGTGCTGCTTTACAGACGGACAGACAGACATTCACCAAAGTTCAAACGCGCCTCTCTCGGCTGGCGGACGCTGTGAAAACCTGTTCAAAAACATCATAACACGAGGTCAGCGCCTGCACGGTAAACTCAAAAAGGGTCAAACGTTTATTTATTCAAAGTTTTTTTTTCTCTTGAATGATGCACTAGGGAAAGATGGGTGCTCTGATTGGCTTTGACCTCGCCGCCACAATTCGAAAAGCGCCTTGTGATTCTCAATAAATGCTCTTCCCTTCACACCTTCCACTTTGCAGGCCAAGACGGCAGCACAGAAATCCAGCGATTCTCACCTGGAAGGCAGCACCGTGGGCTTTGAGTGGCGGCGATGGTAAAATGCGCATGTCGGGTCGAATTTTTCAACGCGCACTCAGACGAGAAAGCCCAGAGGCGGAGACGGCCACCGCGCTGTAATTACTCGTCGCATTCACATGTCGCGGCAAGAAGACTTCATTTCACACCGGCGAGAAACGCAATTAGCTTCCAATTTGCCAGATGTAAAAAGAAATGCAACAAAGGTGGACAAACTGTATGCACTTGACAAAAGTGGCGAAAAACACGGCCGCAATAACGCAGAGGTCACACGCGCAAGGTATTTGATTTCCAGTGACCTGCCCTCTCTGCCACGTCTTAAAGTAATTAGATCAAAAATCCAACGCATTTAGCAATGTCCTTCATAAGTTAAGAGTGCGAGAAATGTGCGCGCGTTCAGCCTTTTTTCATCCGTGGCCTGGAAAAGTCTAGTCATATAAGAGAAATGCATCGCGGACTAAAGTTGGCGTGGGATAAAAGTTGCGGGTCAGATATTTCTTGGTTGAGAAATTGCAAGCACGAGTCTGGAGTTTAACATTCTTGCCAAGATGTGCTTTTCAAAGTTGATGAGACTCAACCAGTGACTTGACCGATGTGTCTTGCCTGGCAGGCTTTTTGTTGCAGCCGTTTATGTTTCAAGGCCAAATTGGGATTTGAGTAAGGGTTAGCGGAAAGTTCGACAAAAGAAAACCGAAAGCGTTTCGACGGCTGCAGTCTTCGGGATATGGCCTTGTGCTTCTTAATTAATTTATTTTTTGACAATTTTGAACACGCAAAACCTGTCCATTCAATCAGTTTCTCTTTGTATCTCCCAAAAAAGCAGTCGTCTCGAAGAAAGTCACAGAAATGGTCAATTTTCCAACAGTAGATTAGATAATCAAACAGAACGCAAGTCAATACAATAATAATACAAGTTATTAGAGCATTGGGTAGTGAAACTCGGAAAATTAGGAGTGAGATATATCAAGTTATTATTTTTCATGTTTATATTTGGCTCACAGATGTAATAACCCCAAATAAACAAAAAAAATCTTGAAATTGGACGGTCAACCAATAGTGTGTGTCTTCTGACCTGAAGATTGGTGGTTCAAACCTGCTCCTGACATTATCATTGATTGAGCAGTCAGATTGACTGTGATCCACTGGTTGGCTGTTGTGAAACCGGCTCCCATGGGGGATTACTGGTGTTTTTTCTTGAGCAATACACTTAATCTGCTTTGCGTCTGCATAAACTGGTGTATAAAAGTGTGTGTGATTGGTTCCCTTGTATTTCCCTAAGTATTTTGAATGTCTCGCAAAGGTAGAAAAAAACTATATACTGTAAATGTGACTATGATCAAAATGATAACACATGTCACTTTGTACGTCCTGGGTCTATATCATATGTTAGTTTCACATTGTAAGTTGAATCACAGAAGTAAATAAACTTTTGATTGATTTTCTTATTTCTTCAGGCTGATGCTAAATGTACTGGGTGGCAGCTCTGGCCACCCCCCCGACCCAAAAATGGGGTAGAAAATGGATGGAGGGATCATATTCTAATTTGTCTAGTATGTCCTGAATCATCGTCTGTCCTTTCACCCGTCTGCATCTGCGATAACAACTCCAAAACACGGCCAAATACATTTTAAATCTGCATTTCAAGAACTCAAACTCAACTTGAACCCTTTGTTTTCAGTTGTACGTTTTTGTCACTCCCCCAAAATCCATGGATCGTACTTGAAGATCTTTTGGTAGAAGAGTACGCAGAGTGATAAGGAGGCGGGGACTGGACCATGGCGTTCCGTCCATTGTAAGATTGGACTTTCAAACAATGTCAAGGCAAGTGTCGCTGCTACATATTTTGAGTCAAAGCGGTCAATCTTTTACCACAAACACAAGGCCTGCACCTGTACTTTTCATTCGAACGCCAGAAATAAGCATAAAACCAGTTCCTTCTTTCAATGACACTCTTGCCGTGTTAATACCATGACCCATTCTATTCATGAATGTTAAATCTCGCCAAAATGCGTTTTGATGGCGTAAATTTGCCATCGGAGCGAGGTGGTCATGTCCTGTCCATCGTCTTGCACGTGCCTCGAGGTGATTTTAATCTAATGCGTTGGCTCTTCCACCTGCTCTCACCACAGACCGGGCGTAATGCTGGGTCTGCGTCCGTCCAAACATGTGTCAAATTGAGGACGAAGAGGTTCCCTAATTGGAATGATTAGTGGACGAGAGGGGGCAGGCGTTTATACATGATCAAACTGGAGAGACCGCACGTGGGCTTTTGTCATCTCTCCGTTCGTTAAAGCGTGATGTCCTCAAAACACACATTTACTGGTCCATTAAGCCAAATGTATTGAAATTTGTTGATGGTCCATTCAAATGTTTGTAAACGAGATGCCTGCATTCTAAAGGCTGCTGTAATTTCATTCATTTACTCTTGAATAACTTGGTAATCATCAAGCATTTCACAATTTGGTGTGTTTTCTTTTCACTCCTTGTACAGTACAGCGGTGGTGAGCAATGACTGTAGCCACAAAGCCCTGGATCAGACTGACAGAAGGTACTCTTATGCCTTTTGTGCCCAAAGTGTGCTCTTCCTCAAACGTTCATCTATATGCTGATGATACAGTCATTTATACATCTCAAGACAGCGTCACTCAGATACAAAATATCTTGCAGCTAGAGTTTAATCGTGTTCAAAAATGGCTCAGAGAACATAATCTCATTCTTAATGTGAAAAAATCGTGCACAATGTTGTTCAAGACAAGGTATCAAAAAACCCACCCCCCTACTCTCCATGTTCAGATAACTCCTGATAGAGCTTTAACAAATGTAGACACTTTTAGGTATTTGGGCTTGTGGATTGACCCTGAGCTGACATTTAAGCCACACATTGATTACATTGGAAAAAAAATTAAGCAATGCTTGGGTCAATTATATTGTTCAATAGAATGTTTTACATTTGAAACCAGAAAACGTATCGCTCTACAACTACTTTTGCCAATAATGGACTACTCTGACATTGTTTTCCACAGTTCTAACATAACCACCCTAAAACCTCTGGATTTACTTTATAATGCAGTCTGTAGATTTGTTTTAAGATGTCCTTTCACGACACACCACTGTATTCTTTATGACCAACTGAACTGGCTGCAGGCAAAGGAAAGGAGACTTTACCATTGGTACATTTTTATCTTTAAATGTGTCAATGGTGCTAGTCAATGCCCCCCCTATCTCCAAAAACATCTGGTGAGAGCTACCTCTTCATATGCACTGAGACATCTACAGCATGTCACTTTCATTACTCCCAGAGTACATAAGGAGATTGGGAGACACGCTTTCTGCTACAGAGCCCCTGAGGACTGGAACAATCTCCCAGTTTCGATAAAAACTATTTCCTCACTTACCAGTGTTAAAACTGCTTTAGCTACACACCTTAAGTCGGCATGTGACTGCTTTAAGTAGCGTTCAAGGCATAAATAAATAAAAGTAATAGCTGTACCCAAAGTTACCTAAGGAGTGGATGTGTACAAGGTTTTGAGATGGGCATGGTGTGGAAGGGCAAAATCTTTTTTTTTTTATTTATTTATTTTGTATTATTATTTATTTTTATTATTGTTATTGTTATTATTATTATTATTATTATTATTATTATTATTATTATTATTATTTTTTTCTTTTTTTTTTCTTTCTGTCTTTATGTACTGTATGTGCTTATTGTTTTGTCTGTCCTTGTGGTCATGTATGTAACTTTGTTTTATAACCGGACCCCCTCGAAAAAGAGATGATTCATCTCAAGGGGCTATCCACAATAAATAAATAAATAAATAAACTTTTCAGAAAGATGGTTAGCAGAGTGGTAAGCCCTAATCACATAAAAAAAAACAAGTAAACATGAACCACAGTTGATAGAGCTGTGTCCTGAGGAGATGCATTATCAAAGGGGTGCAGATGTGGCTGCAGGTTTTCATTCCAACCATGCAGGAGCACATCACACTCCACCCATTTATTCAAGCCTCCAGGTAAAGACTGGACAAACTTGAGGATTTCTGGAACTAGATTGACACCCCTGATCTATCACAACAGATATCCGTACATTGGCCGCATCACTCTACAGGCCGCAGAGCCTAAAGAACTTGAATATACAATCATATACAGCAATAACGGTACATGTATGCGTTTGGTAATGAAAGAAAAACAACTTTCCTAAGAAAAAAGTCACCCATTTTGATATGCATGAAAAGGAGACATTTTAATATTATTAGAATGTAGGAAGACTAGTTTATAATTATGCAGAAGTGATAAGCCTCGCCTCCTTGTTGCTACTAACATTTTTGAATCTATGAGACATGGCGTGAACCATCAGCAGTACAAATACATGGGCAGAGAGAGACGGGTGATATGGGATAGAAATAATGTGAGCTCAGGACAATAAAGAAGATTCAAACAAGAATCCATTGAAATTAATTTTTTGTTTGAATCTTAGTGAGTGAATCTTACATGATACTTTAGGAAAAGAACCTCTAAAGGATGTTGTGCAAAGAGAGGTAAATTACAAACAGAACACGTTAAAAAAGTTGTGTTGTCACGGTCAAAATCAAAATATCAAGTACACGTTCAATGAAAATCCTCAGAACATTTTCACAATCCCTTCAAACAAGGCTTTTGTGGTCATTTTGACAAACAATTAACTTTATTGTTGGTACTTGACTTAAAGCAGCAGTAAGCGATTTTTGGGTGTCAACATACGTCTTAAATATTGATATATTCCAATAGCCATCACTTATATAGAGTGTTTGTACCTAAACACGGATCTCTCAGTCTTTCCAGGCTTCTCCCACCTATATGATAAAAAAACCTCACATCCTATGCGCTTATCCAATGACGAGAGAGCACGCCTTATAAGGGGTTTCTCCCGTGTGTGCACGCGCACTCTTCCAAACAAACATGACGGAGAAGGAAAAGCCGCCTCCAGCGCTGCTGCAGACTAAATACCATGGATCTATTAAATACAGGCAAAACGCCAGAAACAGAGGAACGACAA